GAAAGAATTGATGACTTAAAAGCAAGAATTAATTTAATTGGGCATTAAATTAGTTGGGCCTCCACTTCAACTTTTGATTGGATTAACGCAGCTGAAAAATAAGGAGAGGAAGAAAAGGAAAAAAAAAAAAAAAGAATAGAGAGGAGTGGCGGCTTTGGAGTGTATATATACACGCGAACAAGAAAGAGAGAAAACCGGGCAACTTTGGAGGAAAAAGGGGTGGCTGCTTTAATATATTATATATATAAACAGTTGGCAGCTGCAAGGAAAAAATATACAATTAGAGTCCGTTTGATTATAAGAGTGGAAAATTGATAGAAAGATAATGATTTTCAGGAAAAGTAATTGTCTAGAAATTGTTTTGCAGGGAATTGTTAATTAAGTGTGTTTGATTGGTATAATGTTCCACCCGAAAAATTTTAAAATTTTCTATTCATTTGACTTTATTTTACATGAAAATTATCCATTAAAGTGATAATTTTTTCACAATTGGTTATAAAATTTGTTTACATTGCCAAAAAGTAAAAAAAAAATTGTTTCCTAAAAAATCATTTTTTAATCAAAGTTTAATGTTCGTTTGTTTTTGTTTTACATGAAAATTGTCCATTAAAATAATTTTTTTTTTTTACAATTGATTATGAAATTTGTTTCCTTAAAAAAAAAAAAATCAGACACCTGGAATTCAATTTTCCCACCAAAAAGGTGGGAAAACATTTTCATCAATTGCAAGGAAAAAGGAGCGCGTAGGTTCAAACATGGAAAATATTTGGGTGGCAAAATTTTGTCAATCAAACACCTTGATTTGTGCATGGAATTCGATGCCAATCAAACAGGGCGTTAGAGGCTAAAGGAAGATTAACATTCACTTTAGAGAATTAATCACATTTCGTAAATTTTTGGTGATGTCATTCCACTTTTACGTGTATAATTTTTAATATTATGTTAGACTAAATTTTTACATTGTTAAAATATAGATGAACCATTATTTTGAAATTTTTAGTATTAATTAATTATTTTGATTTTAATTTGTTTGAATGTTGAGACGTTTATTTTGGTTTAGATTGCATTTCAATTAATTGGCTTTTAGTTGAATTATTTGTGAATTTTATTATCAACGAGAGAGGTAATAGGATCGTTAGCACGTAATAATAAGAATTGTGAGGTTTGATAGAGGATAGAGATATACATATATACTTCACATGTTTTTTAGATGTTCTAACTCATTTAATGCTTTCTTATATGTTGGTATCTTTTATAGAGATATAGAAATGTCAAATATACTAAAAATTGATTAATAAGTGGGATTCTACATCTTCGCAATACTTCTCAAAAATTGGATAAACTTTGATTTCTAGTATGTGATAAATTAGACGTGGATTTATTACAAGTCATTATTGTTATTCAATTAATGGTATTATTAATTTTAACTCAATAAAACACGTAATCTTTGTGGGCTCGACACTCTACACACTACTATATTACTTGATCACGATCCCGTTCACTTGCGGGAAATCAAACGATCAAGTTTTTGGCGCCGTTGCCGGGGACTACTATATTTGATACGTTTA